GACGCACGAGGAGAGCGCCACGGCCGTGTTCTTGAGCACGGCCAGAGCCGACTCGTCCACCGTGCTCGGCGACGGCGGCGACGTCTGACCGACCACACGGTACCGTCAACCACAACAGGCTCTGTCAGCAGCACAGCCAGGCCGGCGGCGCAGCAGCACAGCGGCAGCGCCACGCCAGCAACGGGAACGCACCCACGGCATGGTCAGGTTAGTCGCGGCCGCGCTGCCCATGACCCGACCGTGGACGACAATCGCGACAGACAGGACCCGACAGTCGCTCCCATCCCTGCTGTCGATCTCTCGCGACTTCACTGAGCTCGCCGGCCATTCCACCATCAGCGCCCGCTGGTCGAGTGACCGGGCCGGCCGCCGGAGCAGCGGGTGGCCGCGGCCGGCGGCGGCGCCGAGCCGGGCCGGGAGCGGGCCAGCTCTCACCAGCGGCGCCCCACCCACTGCTGGGCCAGCACGTGCAGCAGGTCGTGCGCGGTAGACTGCAGGTGGCGCACCGGGTCCATCACCACCGTCTTGTTGTTGGCCACGCTGGCCGACAGCAGCGGGATCATGGTGGGGAAGGGCAGCGGGCTGAGCAGCTGCTGCCGGCTCGACTCCTGCTGCAACTCCTGCGGCGGCGGCGGCGGCGGCGGCCGGCTCACACAGACGCCAGCGGACACACCCACACACGCACGCGCGGAGACGGACCGGCAGATGGAGGGGAGGGGGGGGGGGCATCGGCGCCGTGGGCAGGTCACGAAATCATGAGGCGGGAGGGGGCAGGGACACCGGCGCCGTGGGAAAGTCACGAAATCACGAGGCGGGGGGGGCGGGAACACCGGCGCCGTGGGAAAGTCACGAAATCACGAGGCGGGAGGGGGCGGGACACCGGCCCCGTGGGCAGGTCACGACAGCATGTCATACCACAGTGGGCGTCAGCGGAGCTGCATGTAGACTGGCCCCATACTGACATGATGATCACCCTGTCTACGAACACATCCCACAAGACCTTCGCCAGTGGAACCCTTTTATCATCCGAACCGAAGCCGTCTCGGTCGGCAGACAGACAATGCCCGTCCTGCCGCCAAGCCGGCCTCCGACAACGAGGCGCGGTCCACCGACCTGCAGCAGCAGGATCAGCTCCATGCGGACAGAGGCGAGCGCGCCGCCGCCGGCACCCTGCAGGCTGCAGTAGCTCAGCAGGGTGCGCAGGAGCGCCTGGTTCGCTGCAGATGAGCACGGCAAGCACCCGGTCAGCGGCCGGCGGAGGGGCAGGCGAGCGGACGCCGGGCACACAGCGGCGCCCAGCACGGGCGCACCTGAACGGACTTTCAAGAGCACTCACGTACAGAGCACGGGATACTCAGCTGAAGGTCAGTGCAGTCACGGGAATGGACGGGACTGCACAACGTCAACGCAAGCAGATAAGGTGGTGGCAAGTACTGTGACGCGACCAGCTTGTTCACGCATGAGCTTCCGGTACGCCAGTATCTTGAGACTTTGCTCCAAGTCTGGCGCAGTCCTGACACCATGCCGTGAGCCAGTCAGCGACACTGCGTGGAATGTGGCCCGCCCGCCGCACCTTTGAGCCATGTCTTTCTCCTCGTGGCGCGCTGCAGCTTCGTCTCGAAGTCCATTTTGTCGGTAAGCAGCACGTCATGCAGCGTGGGCCGCCGGTCGCCGGGGAAGCAGGGCGGCGGAGACGGCTGCTCTTCGTCGGCTGGCACGGGCAGCGCCGCACCTACAGAGGACAGCACCGGGTCAGACGAGCCCCGCCCCCGGCACCCCACCGGCGGCATCCACAGAGGACAGCAGGGTCAGACGAGCCCCGCCCCCGGCACCACACCGGCGGCATCCACAGAGGACAGCACCGGGTCAGACGAGCCCCGTCCCCGGCACCACACCGGCGGCGCCTATAGAGGAAGCACCGGGTCAGACGAGCCCCGTCCCCGGCACCACACCGGCGGCGCTATAGAGGACAGCACACGGGTCAGACGAGCCCCGTCCCCGGCATCCCACCGGCGGCATCCACAGAGGACAGCACCGGGTCAGACGAGCCCCGTCCCCGGCACCACACCGGCGGCGCCTATAGAGGACAGCACCGGGTCAGACGAGCCCCGTCCCCGGCACCACACCGGCGGCGTCCACAGAGGACAGCACCGGGTCAGACGAGCCCCGTCCCCGGCACCCCACCGGCGGCATCCACAGAGGACAGCACCGGGTCAGACGAGCCCCGTCCCCGGCACCACACCGGCGGCGTCCAGAGGACAGCACCGGGTCAGACGAGCCCCGTCCCCGGCACCACACCGGCGGCATCCACAGAGGACAGCACCGGGTCAGACGAGCCCCGCCCCCGGCACCCCACCGGCGGCATCCACAGAGGACAGCACCGGGTCAGACGAGCCCCGCCCCCGGCACCCCACCGGCGGCATCCACAGAGGACAGCACCGGGTCAGACGAGCCCCGTCCCCGGCACCACACCGGCGGCGCCTATAGAGGACAGCACCGGGTCAGACGAGCCCCGTCCCCGGCACCACACCGGCGGCGCCTATAGAGGACAGCACCGGGTCAGACGAGCCCCGTCCCCGGCACCACACCGGCGGCATCCACAGAGGACAGCACTGGGTCAGACGAGCCCCGTCCCCGGCATCCCACCGGCGGCATCCACAGAGGACAGCACCGGGTCAGACGAGCCCCGTCCCCGGCACCACACCGGCGGCGTCCACAGAGGACAGCACCGGGTCAGACGAGCCCCGTCCCCGGCACCACACCGGCGGCGTCTGGAGAAACGGCCCAGACCTGACGTTAGACACGCAGGACCGGACCGCTGTCCGTGGCGCCCTGCGCTGCTGCTGGAGGGACGGGCCGTCGGAAGCGGGACCATACCGGGCCGGGCGCTCTGCAGGCCCGGATTGGGCCAGCGTTCAGCGCACGCTTGGAATAGCATAAAATTCTCGAGGCGCGGGAGTACATTCCCTCAAATCGCATCCAGAACACAAATGCAAACTGCCTAAGCATGTATTTGCGAAAGAGACGGATCAAAATGTTCACAACCAATCACAGCACTGTCATGTGGTACGACATAACCCGAGCAGGCTGAGTCGGTGCTCAGTGGAGCAGCTTGCTAAGCTCCAGTCCCAGCTTCTCGACGATCGCCTCCTCCAGCGCCTGCTTGGCCCGCTGCACCTTGGCCTTGTTATCGCGCCACCACTCGTTGGACACCTTGCTGGCGTACTTGCTGGCCGGGTCGCCGATCAGCCGGTTGACGATGCCGCTCGCTCCGTGCGGTCGCACCTTGACGCGGATGCTGGGCAGGTCCACCACCACGTTGGTGTTCTCCGGCACGGCGGTGACCCTGCCGTCCGGACTGATCTCCAGCCGCAGCGTCGCGCTCAGCCGGGCCGTCGGGTTGTTGACGTGCACGTCCACATCGGCACTGACGGACGCACGCAGCTTCTTGCGCCAGATCTTCTTGGTGACCTTCACCCTGCCGTCCAGGTCGCCGCGCAGGTTCGGCCAGCTGATGGTGGCCTCGAGCGCCAGCTTAGTGCCGTGCGGCTCCGGGAAGCTGACCTGCAGATGCGGGATGGTGTAGCTGGAGAGGCCGCGGATGAAGATGTTGTTGAGCCACCACTCGTAGCGGCCATTCCTGTCGTAGCGGTTGGGCAGATGCAGCGGGTCGCTCTTCTGGCGCACCTTGTCGCTCAGGCCGAGCAGTGTCGTCCTGATGCAATTGCTGAGAGCAGCGTCGTCTCCCAGGTCGCAGTTCAGCTCCTGGGCGGAGATGGTGGCCACGAGGGCCAACAGCAGCAGCGCGCTCTTGCCACACCGACTCGCCATTGCGCTACAATTACTCCCAAGTCCCGCACCGCAACGCTGTCGGTCGGCGAATGCTGCCTCCCGGCCGCCGACGCCGGCTTAAGTCCGTCCGAAAATCGGGCCGCCATGTGTAAACAACCAGCGGCGTGTGCTGCGCCCGGTCCAGTTTCTGGGAACGGCCGTCGACGCCGGCAGCGCTGCCACGTGCGGCGGGGTGTTCCAGAGGCGCAGCCGTCCGGTGGGGAGTTCCGAACTGCCAGACACCACCGCGTGTGTGGAAAATCCAAACGCCACAACAGCAGGCGCCGATGAGCCAGCCCCTTTCATGCGTTGAAACACGTGTTCGAGCCAGGCCACCATCGAGCAGCTTTTGCTCACATGGTGCGAAGCAGGCGGGAGTGGAGATAGGTCGACTGTGGGTGGCTCGAACGGCGCGCATGCCCCTGAACGTGACATTAATGGCGCTGCTGGACGACTGAAGGTGACGTCACTCGGTCTGCGCTAAAACGTTCCCACGAGAGACACGTCTCCAGTGGCCCCCTTCCACCCGCTTTGCGACTTTCGATGTAATCAAGATGATATTTATCCCTTATTTCGGACCATACGCAGCAAGCGTTGGCAGTATTGTATGCATACGGATAAGTACGCCAAGTGCGGTTAAGTTGTTGTGCTTACGACAATACCATGTTACATGTCTGCTACCTTGAAAAAATGGCGGGGGGGGGAGGGGGGGGGGTAGGAATTGGCAGCAGCCGATCACAGCCCGCTAGGTACTTTTCCAAACGGCATTGTCGTGGGCCCCTTTATTCCCATTTTGGGGAACATGTATAAATTGTTGTTTCGTTGCTCCACCCACAAATGCACCAAATGGAAACTAAACTTGCGTTTAGCAAACCAATTGGGCGGACGTAAAGGAATGCCGCAAGTCACACACAAAAGTTTCACAAGTTGCACAAAGAAATTCCAAAAGTTGCACGAAGCTTTACACCGCTAACGTTTACACATAAGGCACGTAACTGAAGCTGGCAGTGACCCCGGCAAAGATACGCCGCGACACATACGCTTCAGTAACTCATTTAAGCCCCAGCCGCATACGACGAGCAGCAGCTGAACTGACCTTACAAACTTCTCAAATTCCCTCCCTTTTGCACGGTTTTGTACGGTTTGAACGGTCACACGGTTCGACTTTTACGGTGAGACCTAGCGACTGACACGGCTGCGTTTTGCATCAAACGTTGGGTGAGCCCGGCAGCCTTTGGAACTCAGCCAGAGCTGTGAGATATAGAACCAATAGGCCGGATTACTATTGTCAGCAAAATAATCCACGCTAACACTTTTGATTATTCTTTAAAACGCCTAGCATTGTCTAAAAATTATACTCGAACAAGTGGCGCAGCTAGTCCAATCTACTCCGCTCGTGTAACGCCTATAAAATACAAAGACAGCTGAGCATTGGACTAGCTAATGCCGATTCTGCGTATTCGGCCACCTCAAAGGCTCGCTGATCGCGCCCAGTGACAGTCTCACGACAGAACATACGCCCAGACAGAGGTGCCCACCAATCGGTCCGGTGGCTGACTCATGACCACAGGCCAGGCTCAAAACACCTACAGTCAGCTTTGATGACAAAACCATAATACAATAAGCCTATACGGAGCTCTCGCGCCGCTGTATTTTCCGCGTACGTCTCGTGCAAGTGAAGATGGAGGCGGAGGGGGGGGGGGGGGGCAATAATCTTCGACTGGACTCGCATTACAACTTGGCAACCTCAACATCTTAACAGTGATGTGTGGACTTAACAGTGATCAGTGGACACAATCAACTAAAAAACGGAGCTCGCCCGATTGATTAAGCTAAATGTGCTACGTACAAGTTTCAGCAGGTTACCACCATTTGTTGGTGTAACAGGTCTTGACAGCAGAACACAAACATTGTACTTAAACCACAAAACATCGTCATCCTGAGCATTTGTGCATCAAATGGAACAGCTGCGACACCTGTCGTGAACTAAGCAAGGTGTTGCAAGATTCCAGTCTCCCGGACAAAGGTGTCAGTGAGCGGGTAGTCAGTTCTAACAGACACACGCACAGCGACCTCAGAAATTCAGTCGTATCTTGAACCGTATCGGAAGCGAACAGCTGTCCTTGTGCGGAGCCATCTACATCAGCGGACGGGCGGACCGTCCGTCACATCGGAATCCTCTAGATGCGAATATTCATTGAGTTATGGTTGAAGTTCGCATGACATGCCAGCCCACGTCAACAGATCTCTATCGGGAAGAAAAGCGACCGGTGTTGTCTGCTGGCAAATTCTCACTCCATAAAGATGAAGCCTCCTCTTTCTCGAACAAAGTAAAAGTCGTCGTTTGTTTGCTTTCTCGGTTGGTTTTTTTTTAGAAACATTCACTGTCCTACCTACCACTTATGTTTCAACCCTGCTTGCCTCAGACCTCTGAATGCTTGAAGATACGAGACATTGAGATTTACAGACGGATTGGAGCAAGGCACCAGCGTCATGGATGAAGTCAGCGTTCGGACACCGTCCTATTCTGGTGCGTTAGTATGCACACACATTATTCCCGGTTAGCTCAGTTGGTACAGCACTGGACTCGCAGCCGCAACACCCCGGTCCAAGTCCCAGGAGTTCCAAACGAGAGCTTTCCAGCTTTGACGCAAACGTGACTAAAAGCCAAACACAATCCAGCTCTTCTCCGGCCTCAATAACACCTGACGACGACAGGAAAGTTAAATGACCGAGACGTTGTGTACACACCAACGCACCAGGCGAGAACGATAGTTCAAACAACTTTGCAATCCGTGAAGCTAATACTTCATCTCAATCCTTCCGCAAAACTATGACCGATAAGTGCGGACCCAAAGATATGCCGCGATATCTTTACCAACATACCAAAGCTGCATCCAG